GACACTGTGATGTAGGTGTAAGAGTCCGCCGAAACATGTCAGGTGAGAAAAAATAAAAGAGCACTCTCTGATACAAAAGAAAACCAAAAGCATTAAAATTATTACAAAATAAGAATTCACTTGTTCAGTATTATTATTTTTTTTAATACTTACAAAGTTGGTGGAAAATACAGCAGTTAATCTGTTCATTTAAAATAGACTTTTGGTTTAATTGAGCTGTAATTAGAGGTTAAATCCCCACTGAGGTGTTGGACTTCTGAAATTTTGCAAAACTACATCAAGCTGAAATTTGCCTGAACATGCATGCATAGTTCCTCTGATAGGACTCAGTACAGCAGCTTGTTCTCTGTGTATCTTAATGAGGTGCTGCACTGAGGTGATATCAAACAAACTTTAATTATATTTTTAGAGTTTTTTTTTTAAATTGTTAATCATGAAAATGAGAGACAGCTAAGTTTGTAAACTGCATAAAGCAACAAATAAAAAGGGGGACTGGGATAAGGATTTTAATGATGTCGCAGGTTCATTAAAGTGTAGACTCCTGTTTCCTTTAAATATTAAGCACATCTTTGCAAAATACCGTGTTATGAGGTCGTCTCGTCCCAAACTGGGGTAGAGAATACAGAAATCTCTAATAGGAAAAAAAAAAGCCCAAATGTTGACCGTTTCAATCTCAGGAAAAATCTTACAAGAAAATATGTTGGTAAACTTTCCCAAGTTGACTTAGAAAATGTGTTTTCAGGGCTTTTGATATTTGTTGATCTGAAAGGATTTGAAAATAGTGACCCTGAAATTCACAGATGTTGTAAAGTTTGACTCTCAGGAAGAAGTACCTGCTCTGAAAAAAAGGCAGATTTAAGTTATTGTGAACGATGATTCATCCTGCTCCCACTCCCTCATATGTTATAACCACAGTAGCTGTCTGTCAATGCGTGGGCAACCATCTGCTTCCCTTTACCATTCATCAGACATCATCATTGCAGTCAGGGAGTTTTTCTCCCCGGCCATATGTATTCATCAGAGGAAGAAAGCTCGCACTTGATATTCAAAAACCAGCCATGTTACTCGGTCAGCGCACACCGTCTGATTTTCAGGCTCTTTGTAATACTCTGATTCTCTCCCGCTTTCTCTTCTGGTCTTCTGCCGCTCATTCCTTTTAACTTTGTCAGGGAGAAGGATTCATTATTTGAATACATCCGCTCTGTTGCTAATTTGTAGGGGAGTGAAACGGAGACTGATGCCCTCTCCGACCTGAATCTGCCGCGTCTAATTATGCTGTCTACCTTTTTTAGGTCACACCTGATGTCACAGCGCCACACTCCAGCAATGTTAAGTGGTGTTTTTAATGGGTTTTCTGCCACAGGTTCAAGTTAAAAAATAAGGATTGTGCCGTATTAGGGATCAAAATTACCTGCAAGAGGGGGCAGACTTATTTAATATCACACGGAGAGAGGTGAAATGAAAATGAAGTGAAGCAATTCCAGAGTGGTTGGTTTTATATTAATAATTATTTTGAGGCTATAACTGACTTCCCGCTGCAGGGAGTAATTCCTGAGTATAAAAAAAACCTCACTCAACAATACCAACTACAAAAGAGGTAAATGTGTTTTTTCCTGACAGAAAATACCACACAATAGTTACGTGGTGGTGTATTGTGTTCTGTTGATATTTTCATATATTACAAGCTGGAATGACAAAAGAACAGGATGGAGTTTTCTTTTTCTTATAAAAACGTTTTTCTGATTCTGTTTTTAAATTAGGAGTCAACTTATTTGTGTCACCTCAGGCTGCAGATATTAGACAGATGTAGATCATGATGTCAGTGGATAATGTAACCAGATTGGTCAGTTTTATATTTAGGACATTTGAAAGAAGAAGAAGAAGAAAAAAACACTTTTATCCACTTCACTGCACACTTCAAAAAAAGAAAAGAAAATGGCAAGGTAAAAGAAACTAAAGTACCCACTAGCAAAATCCAAACAAAAATCAGGAACTAGTACAAAGCCTGTGATAGCTCCAGTATAAACACAACTAGAAAGACATCAATATATAATTTGATTAATGTCCTCGAGGTCTTTATTAAAACCATTGTTGTACTGGATTATACAAAGAAACTTTAATTTCTAACATCCTGGTTTCCAAAAATATAAAGGTGGGCACACTATTTCAAGATTTTACATGCAGCACCAGTTCTAACTGTAATCTACGAAATAGGATTAGGGCTACAAGAAAAGAAAAGAAAAAAATAATAATTACAGGAGGGAAATTTTTTAAATTTCTATTTTGAGATTAAAGTCAAAATTTCAAGATTAAAGTCGAGCTTAAAAAAAAAAACATCAAAATTTTGACTTTATTCATGTTAACTTTAATCTCGAAATTTTGACTTTAATCTCATGATTTTAATTTTTTATATTTGAAATTTTGACATTTTTCATGACATTCCAATTTTAATCTCAAAATTTTGACTTTGTTGACATGATTTTTATATTTTGAAATTTCAACTTTAATCTCAAATGTTGACTTTACACTCCTTTCTGTAATTATTGTTTTTCTCTTCATGTGGCCCTGATTCTCTTTTGTAATAATTTCATGGGAGTGGATCTGATCTGACAAGATGAGGCTCAGTCTGATCACATCTTTACATTGGGTCTTTGTTAATAGAGTCTGGCCCTTTTTGTAAAGCGTCTTGAGATAATACCCATTGTGAATTGTTGATATATAAATAAAGATTGATTGAGACTGATTGAAGATCACAGCAACATTAACTGGGTGATATTATTCTCATCTTAATGCAGAATGTCAGGACTGATGTTTCACAAGGGACGGCTAGTCATCTTGGGAAAAAAATTCACAATATACCCTAAAGCTGTGGCTGTAAACACAATCTTGCCCCCCACCCCTTGTGTATTTTATGTCACACAACAAGTACTTGTATCTTATAAAATATTTACACTGACTTTGCATGATTCACTCCCACTTAATACTTTAATTTGCATCCAGCATGAACACGACACAATTTTTCTAAAACTCAACAATTATAATTCCTATGTATCTGTCCAAGTTAGTGGAGACTGGGAAAAATTTAATTTTGCAGCACTGTTAGTGGGAGGCTCTATTTACTTCAACAGGACTGAATATAAAGGAGAGTGTAAGTGCTTCTGTTTAAGACATTTAACCCTTTCACTTTTCTACCTGCTGTGTTTTTTTTTTTTTTCAAACAGTGAAAGACTTGGTTGTATGGGGAATCTGTCAGAGCAAACACATGCTCATTAGAGTTTTTCTGGATAAGCAGTGGATTAAAATAAATACTTGTGTTGGTCTGATAGTTTGAATGTTTGATACAAAGACTTAAGTCGGCTAAAAAGCTGAAAAGCCATGTTCTGCAAATCAGAAGGTGAGTAAACTAAGATGGGTTTATCCTCTTCTATATCCCTGCTGCAAAGTGAATTTCATTCCAACTCCCCTGACACTCAGGCTTTGCTTAACAGGAGGAGTTGAGACAGAAAGCCCAAGGCACTGAAAATGAAGGACTGTTAAATAATTTTTTGTCAGCAGAGGCGTCAGACTTGGATTTGAGCAGACAGGGCTTCAGAAAAAACACAAGGGATGGTCCTGTGGGGGAAAGTATGTGTCATGCTCAACACCTTCACAACCCATTCTGATCAAAGTCTTTTCTTGGATGGACACATACTAGACAGGGCCAATTTAATCTCCAAGAATACACACACACGCACGCACGCACGCACACACACACACACACACACACACACACACCACATGACCTGTCCAACCACCTACCTCATAGACAGTATATTTACATGCTACACTAACCAAGTGTGGCCTTCTGTTTTTGGCCATTTTTTAAACCATAAAGATGCAAAAGTACATTTTATTTAAGGGTATTTAATAGTAGTTTTTCTTTAATCATGGTTTAATTTTTTTAGAAGTTGAAAATAATGAGGCCTGCCTGAGCCGATAAGAAGAAACCTATCCGATACAAAGACATGAGCAGCAGAGCTTTTAAACCATGATAGCAGTACTGTGGGGTCATATTTGTTTTCTAGCTTATTCCCTAAGATGCTTGAGTAAATTGAGATCTGGTAAGTTTGGGAACTGAGTGAAATGAACTTGTAGTTTTGGTCAAATCACCACCTTCCACCATTCTGCCGTCCAGCTCTGATGCTCATGTACACATAGAGGGATATTCCGGCGTAAATTTAAATTTGAGTCGAACACCATAGCACCAAATTAGACACCCCCTTGAGAGATGAATGTTGCAGAACCTGCTTCTCTAGTTATACCAATTTCAGCAATCACCGCACGATAGCAAGACACAGCGGTCTATGGCTCCACGCGCAAACCTCAACCAAAAAGCCACTCTATAGCCACAAATAATGCTCAGAGCAGCAACTAACTTCATCAACAGTACATTTAGGGTCCAAGACATAGAACTAGCCATCAAACATCTTTATAGCTTTGCCTGATTTCTTTAGCAAAGAGACTAAACACGACTCACCTACTCTCTTCCAGCAGCCACTTGTCTGTGGAGGGAGCCCTGGCGCATGGATCCATAGACCGCTGTGTATTGCTGTTGCGCAGTCGTTATTAAAGTCGGAATAACTAGAGAAGCAAGCAGTCTGCAACATTCATCTCTCGAGGGGGTGTCTAACTCGGTGTTATGGTCTGTTTGACCCTAAGTTAACTTTATGCTGGAATATTCCATTAGACACTTTCAACCTCAAAGCCATAGGGAACATTTGAATAAGCATTTTTGATCAGGGAGATTCATAACAGAGTCAAACATCTGGATAGTCTTCGAGTGTCGGTCATGACAAGAGCTGTTTGAATTCTCCACATGAAAAGGGAAGGAGCTCCATTACTTCCTTTACCACCTCCTTTAGCAGAGAAAACACTGGAGCGCATTACGCTTTTTGTTGTCCATTCACAGTAAATTGTGTATACATATATATATATATATATATATATATGTGGTCATGTGGTCTCAGTGGATGTTCCTAATGACACTTGAATGCGCCCTATGAAAAAAATTTAAATTATATAATTTTAATTTTTTTCATAGGGCACATTCACTAGGAACATCTACTGAGACCACATGACCATTGTGACCAAGGAGAAGAGGCTAGAAAAGGACAAGAGGCTAGAAAATGGCTTAAAGTAATTTTTTGGGGACTTTTTGAATGTGCCCATGAACTTGTTATAGGAAAACAATGTCATGATATGTTCTGTTAATTTAGTTTTCTTCTGTTTTTTTTTTTCTTTTGTTTTTTTGAGTGCATTTTGTGTATTATCCCCAGTGTTTCTGTTCCCTATCGTTCCTGTTCCCTTGTAGCCCAGTTATGTGAATTTTTAGTTAGTATTTGACCCTGTTTCCCTCCTGTTCTCTGTGTTTATTCTTTAAACCAGTTTTCAGTGTTTCCTGTTTTATTTTGTAGTAGATTATTCTGTGTTTCTAGTCTGATTTTACTTCCCCACTTTTCCCTCCCTTGTTAATCACCCATAAGTTTCAGCTGTGTCTCGTTTGCCTCACCTGTTGCTTGTTTCCTAGTGTGTGTGTATAGCACCTGATTTCCCCTCTGTCCTTGTTGGTTCATTGAATGTTGATGTGTGTGTATGCTTGTGTTCCAGTTGCCTCCTTGTGATTTTATCCCCAGTGTCTTAAATTGGATGTTGCCTTTTGGATTTTTTGGTTGGAAATTTTGGAAGTAAATTTTTGTTGCTTTTTATTTTGTTCTTTTTCAATACATGGTCTGCATTTTAGGTCCTTTTTGTTTTTGCTTAACTCTGGCACGTGACAAACAATCCATTCAGCTTGAAACCAGAATATTTAGAGTTTCTTGTATTGACTGACTACAGTAAAGGTCATTAACCTCCTCACTGTGTTTCCAGAGGAGAAAGAGTTCATGTTAATCAATTATTTAAGTTTTAAAAAGAGGACATGATTGACCTTGCTGTTGACAAATGAGGCTCCTACTGGGCTCTGCAACAGTCTAGCAGAGAGGATAGGTCTGGCAAGAATAATGGGAGAAACAAATCCTCACATAGGATTCATTGAACTGATGATTCTTAAGTGTTTTATTTATGAATTTAATGTTTCTTCGGTCAGTGCAGTGGGTGCAACATCAGCCTCAACCCATAGCAGCCAAGCTCCTTTGCCTTGGCCCCACCTGTGCCAGTGTCAGTGCCTGTGGGGGTATTTTTTGTCCACTTTATATACAGTCAATGCTTATACTCTACAAACTATGATGCTCTGTGTGTTCTGACCTCAACAAAAACATAAACTTTTAATTTAAGCTCCAGTAGCTGGTTTGTTAAATCTGACCACATAGGCCAGACTTCCTTCCCCATGTTCTTCAGTGAGCCTTGGCTGCCCATGACCCTGTGGCTGGTTTTCCTACTTTGAGTGACTTTTGGTTGGTACTGACCTCTACAGACCCTAAACACCCCACAAGAGCTGCAGATGCTTTGACCCTGCTGTTAAGCCACAGTTCAACCCAAAGTTGCATCCTTAAGCTGACCTATGCCCACTCTGGTCAATGCTCATGTATTCACACTGTGTCTCAGATGGTGAAACTTTTTAAACAGGCTGTCAGCTGGTTGGTGTTTGTGGACTAGACTAATTTCTCTTACAAAGACAGGGTACAATTTTGTCTTTTGTCTTGGGACTTTGAAAAGAACAAACTCTGTGTGCCTGCAGGTTTGTTTTGGACTGTAAAACTGACAACACCAAAATGTCCCTTCCAAGATCATCATGAGAAACTTGAATTGTCCATGAATCAGTACGGTGCAGATGATTCTGTCTGACAGGTTTTCTTGATGGTTTTCTTCAATGGTATCTCCAAAGCTGTTTACTTTAACTCCCTCAAACCACAGGGAGGATTTTCTTGGTGGGCTTTGTGGAATATAATATCCTAAAATAAGAGTTTTGATTTCTAGGTCAAATAAAAGGAGAGGCTTCCATCATATCAGCGATGGCTGATGGGAAATATCCAATAACCACTTGAGTTATTGTGCTGAGGGGAGTCTGTTTGCTGCCTGTTTCCATGGTAGGATGGAGAAGTGGCTGTCAAGGCTCATCTGGGCTTCAAAGGAGTCCATTGTCAAGGCTGGAAAGGTCTTTAGCAGTGAAAGGAAAAGATCCAAGTTCTGATTAAAATTCAAGCTTGTAATCTTCCAGGATTCACTTCTGGTTTGATACTGAAAACTCCCAATCAGCTCTGACTGATGACACAGTAAAGGAATACCTAAAACACAGAATATCAGCAAGAGGAATTTAGTTACAGATTTTGGCTGGTTGTGAAATAACCTGAAAGAAAAGTTGATGGCTCTTGATGATAAAAAGGGGTATAAAAAAACACAAGAGGTCATTTTGTGTCTCTTTTAATGCCTGTAATGCCACGGGAGATAATTTTTGTAAATGAGCAAAAGAGAAAGCACTGTATAAACTTAGTCCATTTCTAGTAAGTCAGCTGTTCAAATATATTACTTTCTGAACCTATGGACTACTTCTGTCTCTGGCCTTCTGCTTTACCGCATCAGTATGCCGGCCATGATGCTTCATTCTGGGTCAGGTCTCCCTGAAAAAAATGTAAAAACAGCTTTAATCTTGACAGGCCTGCTCAGTTGTTAAACAAGGTTAAATAAGTCAATATGAGTTAAACACGAGGTCAAAGGAAAATGATAAATACTGTGCCACACCTCATGTTTGTTGGAGTTTGTCCCAGTGCGAGAGCAGTTTGTCTGTTTAATATATTGCACACATACTGAATAATAAAAGAACCCAGAGGGACAACAAGTCTCTCATGCAGCAGCTCTTAATCATTTTTGTAAATTTTTTGGTATCAGACCTAGCATTGGAGCTCAGTATTGCCACCGATTGCCTAAATCAATTTGATCCACAAGGTCTCAATTCAATTCCATCCAAATTCAGATTTCAGCACTTCATGTCGGTTCCTTTTGAGTTCTGGCATAGGAACTGATCATTTCACACTGATGCACAATACACTGTCAGAAAGAGCTGTGGGCTGTGGAGTTATGATGCTGTTCCATTTCTTTATTCACTTTCAGGATTGCCACTTTACTCAGGTATTGCTGTGTGTCAGAAACACACAGCATGGTTTGCATATATTAAAGAGTCTTTGGAAACCAATATTTTCATCACTACAGAACGGACATACTGTATATCCTAGCATATTAAAGTTGTGACAGCCTCAGTTAGTTTTGGGGAAGTGCAGAAAGTCGGGTGGTGGCTCAGACATGATTACCTTCTTCACTAGAGCCTGTATGACATTGTATAATTTAGCTGATTTGTACTGCGTATCTGGTTGAGGTCATGTTAAATGCCATTTCCACAACATTTAACCTTGATGTTTAACATCTCACACGTGCTTACTTTTGTCCAGCTCTTCTCTGTCTTTGCAGTTTGTACTCCAAGGTTTGTCTGTCTGCATTTACATGATTAAATCAAGCAACGGTTACTTTAGGTGATTAAACTGGACTACTGTATTTGTCCCAGATTATAAGCACCAAAAAATAATCAAATTATCAATGAAGCATGTCTGCCTCTGCTAAAGTAGGTGGCTGCATTCACCCTTTCAGTTTGTTATTAGGCCATCTCCTGGTTGACACATGAAAACAGTCAAAACAGGTCAGCAAGAGGTTAACAGGAAGTAAATAGACCATGAAAACCTGCTTACTTTTGCAGCTTTGTGTTGTTGGTTTGTACAATGGAAAAGCTTTTTGTATGTTTGTTTTTTTCACATCCTCTCTGGTCTGTTGAGCTTTTGTTTGCTACCCAGTTTCCTAGGAGCACATTCATGCTACTCAGTCTTAGTCTCATGTGAACACTGAAGTGCGTGCTGAAGGCTTAGACCAGATTCAGTTTAATTGAACCGTATACATGAAAATCGACCCCCGACCACAGTAACATGTATGTTAGTCTGGCTATTAAAAGTATAATTTAGTGTGATTTCAGCCAGACTAATTTGTTTTCATGTTTTTTAAAAGTCCAGTTTCAGATGGACTAGGACAATAAATGGTATTTTTTAATGGATTCTTTTAAACGCCATGTTTGTTTTGGATTACCCGCCACTTATGTGGCCAGATCATTTAGCGTACAGCTGATCCCAGAATGTTAGCCATTTCTGCTGTAACAAAGCAAATTTCTCTAATGTGATAAAAAACAATCTAATCACATTTCATTACTTAACATAAAAATACTTTAACTTTATTTCACTGGCAAATGCACATCTACTTATTATGCATTTTATGCTTAATGTAGACAGGAATTAAATGTCTTTCTGGCACTTAAATCACATTTGTTATGTCAGACAGGTAGATGTGAGGTAATAATGTATTTGAATGCATAAACCCTTGTCACCTCTACCTATGCCAGAGCCCCAAATGTGTCACTCCAAAGACTGGACAAGCCCTTGCACAGTGGCACAAATCAGACAGTGGGATCTGCAGACTGTTAAGTCTGCTAAATATAAGCAATGGATTTTTAAAGGCTTGAAGAAAACAAAGCCGAACTTTAGCTCCTGTCCCAGAAGGACTGTAAAAAGGTGACTCTCAAACTGGCTGGAGGAGGATAATGGTTAGTTACAGGACAATATGCATGAGTAAATCCACAATGCCCAAGCACAACAACTGCACCAAATCAATGGTAAAATGTTTTTTTCATTGGTTCAGTTGTAGGTTATTTGGTGTACAGCTCTCCAGAGCATATATGGTTGTTGTTTTCTGGTTGATAATCAGGTATCTTAGTTATTTGAGGAGCCCTGTGATTCATACAAATTACTCAAATCAAAGTGAAACATTTTTTTTTTTTTATAATAGTCTAGAAAAAAAAATGGTTTCATGCCAATTTACAAAACAGCAGAAAATTACACTTTGAGGATAGAGCTTAGAAGCTTTTAGCAATTGAAGCAATTACAGGCTTTAAAACAATTAAACTGAGATGCCTCCAAGATATGGTGAAGGAAATACATTTTGACAAATGCAATTTATTAGATGCACAATTTATTCCAAGGATTCATTCTACAATTGTCCCTCTTTTTGTCTTTTTTTATGGGAGGAGAAAACCAATTGTATCCGTGTTTGAGTAGATGAGAAACTGATGTCTCAATCATGTGGCACAAAAGATTAACATCAGCCTCCTATCCAGCTTGGTATCGTGCAAAACATGATACTAATGTCTCTGTGCTGCAGATGATGCCGTGTTTCTGCCTCACAGACCTCATCTAGCTGGTTTCATACGTGTCTTTACCACATCATTAACGAGTCAACGAGGCAGAAAACTGCAGTAGCCTCTGACAGACTGAAACATGCAGCCCGGCAGGAAAGGGAAAAATGGAAGAGAAAAATTCAACTTCCATCCCCCCAGGCTCTTATTTCCTTTAGCACAGGGGTCTGACTTTTTCCTCTGCTTCTTTTTTCAGGGCTTTGTGGCTGCGACCCTTCTGACATCCCTGCAACGTTTTGATAGCATCAAGGGGTTCTGTTTGTTTTTTACACCCCAATTTTTTTCTATCACCTTTTGCCACCACCACAATCATTCTTTGTATTTGAGAAGATTTCCCACCTGCGTCTGTGCCTGACACCACAATTTCTCTTGGGTAAACAGCAGAAAGCCTTGTGGTTTTCACTGTGGGTGCTGGGTTATTTTTCTGCTCTGCAGATTAGGCAAATAAGACAAGCATGTTTCTATTTAAAGCTCTCCTGCTTTCCATATTCTCTTTTTAAGACGTCAGGGTAAGATCTGCAGGGGTTATCTGAGGCAGCCCAGTGGATCATTTTCACGGTAGCGTCACAATGACAAACTCTGATCAATTATTCATATTAAGATGCGTGTTTAAAAACACTCCCATGTTACAGGGATATAGACTAATAACTACATATGATCAGAAATACAAGTTCTGCACAAGAAAAGGGTGAATGATACTAAGTAACTTTCTCAATTAGCAGCCAAACATGCTGATGATGGATGTGTTTAAAGTGTAAAAGATTTTCATTAGCAGAATTAATGAAACATCAAGTCGGCATATATCAAAAAATGTAAGTCCTTCCTACAACTTTAATTTGGCTTAACAACAGTCTAAATGGATCTTTAATTGATTTAATTATGTTGTGTATAACACAACTCTCACTGAAACTTGAAATTAATTCAAGTTTATTACTTTCTGCCTTTTTTTATGTGCTGATTGGAGAGCAGAGAGTGGAAAGATCGCAGGAAAAGAGAAGTAAAAGGATGAAACTGACAAGCATCTACCACCAAACTCTTATCTTGGACAGCCCAGAGTCAGTATTAATGTTGTGGGTGATACATGACTGAATATTACCTTTCTGTAAATCCACCACTATTTGTGATGATAAGTAGTATATCAAGTTTTCAAATCCAATATCTCTGGTAAAACTACTGAAATTTGAATCAGTTACCTCATGCCAAATAACCCACAGCTCTATCAGATTTATCATCCAGCATGACGGGCAAGGTTATACCTGTGTGAGCACAGCACCATCCCGTGATATAGAACAGTGCATTATGATCATTCAAGTGTCTGCTTTCTGTTTCTGAAGACAATACAGGACAAGAGATAAGTAGTGAGTAGCTGTCACTCCAGGTAGATTAAGTTTGTCCACCATCAAGACTAGTACATCTATCATAAAGCCCCAAACCATGAACTCACTTCCACTAATCCATCTAGATTCCAAATGGTGCAGCTCATGTTAGCTCATTGAAATGGGTACTGCAGTCCAGTGACTGGGTATAATAAGTTATTGCAATAACCAATATGAGACCAATTACAGGTCTAGTATCTAACGTCAAAACTTTGGAGGGGAATATACAAGATGCTACTTTTGGCAAAGCATACTTCCTTAAAGCTGCTGTGAGGAACTATTTGGTTATTTTGGTTTTGGTGCCTCCTGTGGACAAAGTGATGCTTCTTTTCAAATGTTCATGTGAAAGCAGTATGTCATACAAAAACCTCATCCTTTTATCCCATAACCGTAAATGTTTCACTCACTGTGAGTGTTTGATTATAAGTCTGGTTGCTAATGGATTTTTATTTGAAGGTTAAACAAGGGGCATCAGTCATGTTTTCTGTCTGCTCCTCAACCAGTTACCCAGCTTATTTTATGATTGAATTCAGCAGATGTCTTACACATTGTTCCTTCAAAAAACCACCAGCTCCACAATTTGTAAGCAGCAGCATGGCTATGGGTAGCCCCTGGTGGGCCTGCATGCGCCCACTCGGTTGGCACACCAAATCAGAAGGCCTTGGATCTGATAGCCGTGTGTGTGCTTGTGAATAAGAGGCTATGCAATGCTATTAATGTGCTTGTTGATGCCTGTTTTTAATACCTTTTGATATGATCTGCATTCAGGCAAGTAATTGCAATGCTTTATTATAGTTAAAGGCGCTGTGAGGAGTTTTTAACTGATGGAGAAATAGACTAAAACTGATATTGATGCCTCTTTGTGTCCTTTAGAAGCAAACAAGACCATCAACAATGAGGCAGACAATTTCCCTGTGGTAGTTTTAATGCTTATGAAAAAACGCTGTGAGGAGTGTGAATTGGGGGTAAGTGTCAGAGTAGATGATTGACAGTAAGCTGAAAAATCAACCTTTTTTGACTTTGTGCTCAGCAAATACTCACAGTGAGTGAGAAGTTTGATTGTTACAAGACCACAGAATGAGGTGTTTGTCTGACAGCACAACTTTTACAAGTACAGGACAAGAGTTAAGAGGTATCTGCTTGTCTGTAGGGGGCGCTAAACCAAGCCAAGTTCCTCCCAGCAGTCTTGCTCAATGAGTTTTAGGACCAAATAAGAAGGACTGATTTTAAAGTTACCAAGTACCATTTTTTTTCATAATGTAGTAATGTATTTAACTGTTTCTTTTTGATAGCAATAATTATGCCTGTCATAAGTTTTCAGTTAGTGTCCCAACACTGGATGTAACACCTGATGAGAAAAAGGGAAAAAAAGTTCTATGCAGCTCCAGCAGCATGTTTTATTTACTGTACAATATGTCACTTGTAGGGACAGTCACCCTGAGAGTACACAGTTTCTCTGCCCTCTTAAAAGGTTTATTTTTGGTTTGAGTACTGTATTTTTACGGTATAAAGTACATTGCTTTGAATATAAATATTTATGAGTCGGTAAAACCAGCTACAGTACAGTTCTTTCTATGTGATTCACTCTCTCTCATCTATGAAATGCCTTTTGGTGCACATTCACCTCAACAAAGGAGAAATTTTCACTAACTTTACACCATTAGTAGTGAATGGCACTGAGTACAGAAGGGTTAGAAACATATCAATCCAGTGAACAGAGACGAAAGTTATACTAGACTGCACTTCTGGAGACATTCAGAGATATTCAGACATTAAAATCTTTCTTTTATCATTTGTTTTTCTAATGACATCAATTGCCAATGTCTGTCTGAGGAAACAAATGAACCTAGTTTCAATAAATCCAATTTACATTTAAAAATCAGTATCTCTTCCCATCTTTGTAATGCGGCTTCTGGGCTAGAGCTAATTCAGCCCTGCTTTTCCCTGTGACCTTAATTAAAGGGATATTTCAATATTTTTGAGGTAGTACACGTCATAAGTAAGTATACTTGTCACAATGGATGTCCATCAGTTCTGCCTCTTAAATGTGAGACTGCTGACACGCAGGCTAGGCTATAGTTTTCTGCATATACACAAATACACATACATGCCTGCAAATAATGGGAAAACAAATGGACATTCTGTCTCCAAAATTGAGTCCTAAAAGTTTTCTCAGAGGGCAGTGTACAGTAACAATAACTGTCTCCACACATCAAGCGTGAGTAAAATCATTTGCATGACTAAATTACATATAAAAACAGAGCAAAGACACGAATAGACGCTCCTACTACTCTGGCGGCGCGAATGACCACGAATTGGGTGTGAGCTAAAAATGTCTCAACTTGAGCGGGTATTCGCATCGCAATAACCAACCAGCACAAAGGTTGCCGGCTGACGTATGAAAACGGGCGGTTGTTCACCGGTATCTAGAATGGAGGACAATCTGATCATGTCGGTGTGTGGGTGCCCCGAATTATTACCAAAACCGGAATAAAAAAGAACTCTCCTGGAGGCAAGCAAGTGAGGAGTTTGGATTGCCTGGTAAATTGTAAAAAAAAATTGTCTATCACTCTGTCCTGCTGGTTGACTTGGCAGGGATCACTGATGACAGATGAATGACGTGAGTAAATACTATTCATTCACGCGTCTAGACTCGCACAAATTAAGCAAGTAGATGATTTTACTTGCGCTTGGTGTGAGCGCCCCATTAGATTCCTGGGTTGAATTAAATTACTTAGTTAATGTAGCAGACTTTTCCCAGTCTGTAGTTATGTGTAGCCTAGCTTGCATGCTGGTGACCTCTGTAGTTTCTCAAAGAAGTAGAAAAACTGACAAGCATCTATTTTGGCTAATACACTCACTGGTGACGTGACTCCCACAGCCTTGCTTCAAAAATATGGAGTATCCCTTCAAGGACACTTGGTGACATGGAAATTTCCAAATATCTACCAATAGCTGATGCTTAATAAAATCTGTACTTCTTGTGTAGGAAACATGTTAGCTTAGTGTTCTTGTGAAAGTTGTACCCTCCTTTATTTGTGTGATATTCTAATCTATATTTTGGTTAGTCATATTTACACCGTCCATCACAAAGACAATTTAACTGCTCATACATGCGACTGATCACAGGAAATTCAAGATAAAAATACATTAATTGGGAACAGTTTTAGAGAATGCATGTTTTCAACACTGACGTCAAGGACACATCTGACTTGACTGGAGCCCTGATATATAACCAATTACAGGAGGAAGCTGAGGCCACTCCTGATCTGATCAGGATGCTTCTCATGCATCTCCTCATGGAGATATTCTGAGCATGTCCAACCAGGAAGAGGCCTCAGGGTAGATGCAGCAGAGTTGGAGGAATTATCAAATCTACCATGAAAAGGCTTCATCATCCCTGAGGAAAAGACTGTAGACGGGGGATGGAGGGAGGGATGTTTTGAATGAAAACACTGCTGCAGAAATTTAAGCAGATTTTTAAAGAATAAAAATCTGTTGCTGTCCCAAAGCCCAGATCCACGGAGTGTTCATAGCTTCAAATCTCATATGATTTTGAGAATCTTCACATTTGACATATACTCCACAGCAGTTTGTTAAGCTGAGCTTTTGTCCAGTATTTGAGGTTAAATCAATAAGTCAAGTTTAAAGCTAAGCTTATGAGGACCTCTCGGCCTGTGTTGTAGTGATATCTTTGGACTATCATGAGCTTCAGCCTGGATGCGTGACGGCTGCATGGTTGCTCTGGCGTGTGACGGTTCCAGCTTGTGTCGTCCCTGCATTCATACAGGCTGTGTGTGGGTTGCGTGAGATGCTGCTGTCAGCTTTGTCTCTCACACTAGTTACAAACAACTTAAGGCCATAAAATATCTATTATTAACATGTCAGAAGTCATCAGAATCAGTTCTTCATGGGAAAGAGTAAAGAAGAGTGTCATCTGCCAAAAACAATGTGTACGTACACATTAATAAAACACACTTCTTGTAACAGGCTGTTTGCTATGCCTGTGCAGAAGTGGTTTCAGGGGTTAAGCTTTTATAACGGGATCTCATTTACATTAAAAACGGATCCTTCATTTACATATAAAACACTGCAGATGTGTGCACAGACCTGTACACACTCACACACAGTGGTAGAGAGGAAAGAGGGGGAAGATAGCTCCCATAACCTGGTGTTATTCGATCAGTAAAATTATGTACCGACATGAATCTTGTTGTTTTTCATATCAGAGGATGCCTCCAGGTGTTGTAACAGTTTCTGGGTTTGAGCTAATCTGAAAATGATCGTGTTTACATTAAATACAGGTATTTAATATAAAAACAGAGCCCAGCTGAGCATCAGAGAGGGGCAGGGAGGTGACTGCAGAGGAGAAAATAGGATGTTGCCGTCTGGGTTAGATGTGCTGCAGGGGATGAATTTATTTCAACTGTGGGTGTGGCTTAATGAGCCATTAAGGCCACACTGACAGGTTTCACCAATAAAAAAAAACATATTATTGCTCCGCTGGGCTCCACTGTGCCTTGTTGGTTGGATCTACGTGTATTTTAGGACCCTCAAAATGATGGTGAAACATGCACCATTAAATTTTTTTTACCCCTTGGATGGGGGAAGGTTTTAAGATGTACCAGAATCTTTTTGAGCAGAGTGTCTCCCACCAGATAGGATTTGACAGTGGTTACACAGATGCAGTTACTTCCTGTTGCCTGCATATGGTGCTGTGATATTTTCATTTTTAAATCTCAAAACAGGCTGTGTTCAGGCTGGGACCCCTTATAACTACCGGCAGAGTTGTACTGATGTATTCCGGTAGAGATGAGCTTGAACAGTTTGAACTTTAATGATGAAACATTATGTCAAAATAAAAATTTATTGCATCACCATGACCCCACTCTTTGATGAAGATTCACAGTTTTCAGCACACATCAAGGCATATCAAGGAGAATATGAGGATATATCATGAATACGTCCACCAGGATTGGAAATACATTTTATGAAGTGAAAACATGATGTTTGCTGCTGCGACTAGGGGGTGTCATGGCTGTGAGCAAAAATTACCATATGAATTTGTTCAGGCCTGGACCTTTAATGTATTGTGGTGATTTTGAGTCAGGGTGGAGGACACATGGCTGAGAATGGGGAAACACCCATATTTGTAGGGCTGTAAAGTCCTACTCGAGTGGTCAAATGATTGGTTGATACGTGCTGAGTCGACCAAAATTCTGATTGGTTGACTTGATTTTTTTCCGCATCAATTTACAGTCTATGGTTAATTTCATCAGAAGGAACGTACCCAGTGCTACTGGCATCCCCCAATATCACAGGTAACAATCTGTCTCAGAACACCCCCCTTGTTTTCACCATTTTGGATTCGCCCAACCCACCGGAGACCGGCTGGAGACAGAGAGATTGAAGAGTGTCCACGTTAATCAACGTCTGGTGGTTTGCTGAATATTTTTCCTAAATTGCCTTTTGTGTTTGATTGCCTTTTCGTGCTGATATCAGTGAGCTTTTGCTAACCATTAAACTACAGTATGTCTACATTGTGCGCGTTTGCATGTTATCCAATAGGTCCCCCCGCTCAAGGCTCTAAACACTGTTCTGTACATGAGTTTAGAGTAAAAGGACTTTTTAAACAAGGACAGTCTCCTATAACGTCGTCTCTCTTGCAGAAAAAGAGCCAGGGCTAAAGTAGGTGGAAAAACACTACAAGCTAGATGTGGTTGGGGTCACATCCAGGTCCAGCTCTGGCTCTGGGGGATAGTCATTAGCCCTTTGCTTGGTACCTCTGTGCTGGAATTTGCAGTACATTAGGGGTTGCCTCTTTGTGAACAAGTTGAAGAAAGGTTCAAACAATTGTTTTTGCTTCACTGTATGTTTGGAGTATGTGGCCTCCTTGAAGTCTCTCAGTGAGGTTCTGGAGGGGGTTCCACCTGGGGACACTATAGTTCTTCTAAAGGAACTTCAAGGCCCATATGGGAATAATGAAGAAACCTAGCGAGGGGTGATGCAGAGAAACAGCCTACATGATCAAACCTGAGTGGTGCTCTGTTATCTGACTTTCTTGATGGTCATGTACTGGCCACAACTTTTCTATCAGAGGCCCCTGTCTGCGAGATCTTGAACTTCCATCTCTGGTAAAACTTTACATGCATCCTGCGGAGGTTGAGCACATGGAGTCTGCCATGGACTGGGGGTATAGTTCAGCAATGGAAGGGATACTTTGAAGAACTCCTTAGCCCAAACATCATGTCTCTGAGATGGAGGCAGAGTTTGCAGATTCAGGGTAAGACTTGCCCACACTCCTGGAAAAGGTCACCAAGGCAGTGTTATGACTGTAGTCATTTATGTAGTTTGGTTTATTTTGTTGATTGACAGCTCTCTCTCTCCTCCCCTCCTCTGCAGTGGAAATCAGCTTGTGTGTGTGAGAGATGAGCTTCAGGTGTGTGTGCTGCTTCTGGGTGTGCCTGTGAATGGATTGCTGCATGCTGATTGGTGGCTGAGGACTATTTAAACCACCTGATGCCATCATCCACCCCCTTCTGGCCCTTGACACTTCCAACCACCAGTCCATGCAGACAGTTGTGGAGTGTATTTTGTTTAGCTTGTGTATAGGAAGATACTTTAAGTTGTGAACATTTTACTTTAGTGGCAGACTCCTGTTTTGGGGTTAGGAGTTAGGTTATCTGTTGTCTTTTGTTTTACATTTATTTTACTATAGGTAAGTTAGGGTCTTTGATTTAGCTGTTGTTTGTTGTTTTGGCATCGCTCCTCTCCGAAGCAAATAAAAACTGCCTTTTTTATAATAATAATAATAATAATTCATT